GGCCAAAGCTCCTGGACCAGTAAATAGGTCTCCTTCTCAGAAAGAGTGGATGCGTGTTTCAGTCTGCGGCCTATCCAGGGTCCTGGGAGTGGTGTCTGCCAAGAACTCTCTAATTGCCATAGCCCAGGGGACCCAGGAATCCAAACCCCTTGGCCTCCAGAGCCAGGTGATAAGGGGTGTTCTCTGGGTGGCAGCCACCAACACCAGGCCATGACCTGTGTAGAAGCTGTCATCTGGGAGATGGTGTTCTGGAGTGCAGCAGATGGAGAGCACAAGTTGGTGCTCACTGGCTAGAGCAAGAGAGAGGGGGAGTGCAAAGATGGCACCCACCGAAAGCAGAAAAAAAGAAGAAAATAGAAAGAAGGTAAAGAATAAAAAGAAAGTTTTAGCAAGGCGGAAAGCAGGAAGATGGCTCCCACCATTCTCTGACCTCAGAGAATATCCTAGCAGGCCCCTGCCGCTCTCTACTTTAAAATTAGGAAACCAGTCTTTTTCCACTTAAAGTCTGGGTACTTTTCAAAGGGCTACTTCTGCATGGGCCCTGGGACTGGTGAGTGCACACGGGCTCTTTAAGAGCCGTCCTCAGTTGGCCACAGCCCTGTAGGTCTCATAGGCACCAGAACCCCTCTGGTCTTCAAAGCCATAGGTTTTGAGGGCTTGTCTTTCAGGTGCTGGTCTTTGTAGCGGGGTGCCTGATGTAGAGTACAATCCTTCATTTCTCAGGAAGGAAGAAGCTCTGTGTTTGGAGTTCCCTCCCCACTGTGAGTCACTGTGCTCACAATGCACAGTGTGGTTTACTGCCAGATTATGTCCCAGCCTTTCCCTTCTGTTTTGATGTGGTTTCCCTCTCATTTCCCTGATGTAAAGGGGTTGCTCCACCAGTTTTTAGGTTTTATTTCAGGGGATATTATACAGCTGTAGAGTCAGTATGCCTGTGGGAGGAGGTGAGTTCAGGATCTTCCTGCATAGCCATCTAGAACTGGAACCCCCACCCCCCACCCAGAAACTAAATGTGTTTAGAGAGATGTAGGTTTTTGCTCAGTTTTACTTCTCATTAGCTGTGGACCTTGGGCAAAACGCTAAAGTTACTGGCCTACGTTGTGCTTATCCACGAAATGGGAATAACAATAACCTTTGTGTAATTCTTGCAAGGGGTCAAGGTATCTACGTCAGCCTCAAACTTGACCAATAGAGGCCCTAGATAAATCATTATAATTACTTAAGAAAATCAAACACTTTCAAAAAGCTTTAAGTAACATGTGCTAATCACATACATCACTATGATATGCCGGATTCCTGAGGATCTTTACAGGCAATATCTTATTTGCCCAGTTTGGCATAAAAACATAGTGGGAAACAGTGTAACTCCCATGGGAAAGACGCATTCTGTCAGAATTTTTCTGGGGAGGGGGGATTTCTCATTGAAAGTCCACTATAGTCCCTTAAGACACAGTTAGTGTTCTCACTGTATAAAGGAGCACAACTGTGGCCCAGACAGGTAAGCAGTGCTCCTGGGTCACACAGTGAGTACAAAGCAGAGCTGGGATTTGTCCTATTTGCTCTAACTCCAAAGTCTGTGCTCTCAACCACTCTTCTCTCATATCTTCTTTTAATTAAGCTTTTGACTAAAGTTGATAGGCATTACTCTCAAATAAATGCAGTTTAACAAGGCTTTATTGAGAAATCTCTTTTAAATTCTTTTGGGAATTGTCTTTTTCCTCCAGTGTGTCTCTCTGTCTGTCTTCCCATCTCTCTCTCTCTCTCTCTTCCTCTCTTCCTCTCTCTCTTCCTCTCTCTCTCTCTCTCTGTCTTCTATAGAATCTATATGTTTCTCTTTTTTTAACACTAAATCAAATACATTAATAAAACTAAGGAGAAAAACTGGGCACATTTAATAAGCAGACTTGCAAAAGATGATTTGTATTCAATAGATGTCTATGTTGTCCCATAACAAAATAAATGTATGGTTCAAACATCAGGACAGGGATTGCACAGAAGGTGTGTTTCAGGTCTTATCATGACATGCAAGGTATGACCCCGTGTAAAGGGTAGAGTTTTATGGGGTTTGGAGAATCCGTTTCCTTCTTCTGCAGTCAGGTCTCCTTGCTAAAGCCTGTGCTCCTTGATGTGCACCTTCCTCCTCAGGCCCTCATTCCAACCTTGCCTCCTAACAACATATCTGTCTTTAGTCTTAAGAGTTGCATTGAGAGCCTTCGCTTTAACAAAATGTTCTGACATGAGAGGCTTGCCTTTGCTTGATCTTCACAAAGCCTGCCTTTCACCTACCCAAAATGACTTTATATTAATAGCTGTACAATCTTGATTGCTTTTGCCCTTTTGATGCGGTCCTTTGATCCTCCAACTCTAAAACTCAAAATTACCTGTTAACAGTCACATTTGTGAACCAGATAATGTACCCTCCTGACATTTCATCTAAATTCCACCTCCATACTCACATGTGTCTTTTCCCTGGAGGTTTATACGTTCTTCCACGGACACTTTGCACTCCACATAGAGGTTTAGGATTTCTTATCAAATTCTTTTCTTTTTAGTTGGCCTGAGTATGAGGAAACAACTGAGAGTCTTTCCTGCCGCATCCAACCCCCACCTTGGGTTCCCATTAGTGCAGGTATAAAATGGAGGAACTAAGAACAGTTCTCATCTTGCCTTATTATCTTTTACACTTAGAGACTGGCCTGCCAAAATGCATCCCACCTCAGGGGTTGCAGAGGTTGGACTGTCCAGAAAACCTTCACTGAAACTTACTCTCCCTCTCTCTTCCTCATCAGGGAAGCAAGAGGAGAGTTTCCAGGAAAGCAGATTTTATAGTGTAGTAACTGTCACTTCCCTCACTTCTGTCTACCTACCAGGGGAAAACAGACATTCAGCTGGTTCCCACCAACAAAAAAAAAAGACCTTAACACAAAGTCTGTGCAGTGTGACAGTACTCTTGAACCTGGGACAAGGTCCCACTTTTCATATCCGGCACTCTGCAGGTCTAAAGAATATTCTTTGGGAAGTGGGGAGGAGGGTATGCCAAGATTCACCCTGTTGAGGATGCCAAAGTTAGCCTGAGGGAGACAGTCCCAGTAGAGCAAGGGACACAATGAGAGACACAACCTACACCATTGGTGGGAGACTCAGGGGAGACAGAATGACCCTTCCCACAACGTCCCGGCCCCTAGAGCAATTTTTAAGGAAACAACGGCCTGGGAGCTAACTGTTTACCGTTAATGAAAATCTTGGGGCAGGTGGGTGTTCAGCACATGAGGGGGTAGGAGAGTGGATATCAAGGAGTAGGGGTAACTAGAGAAGGAGGAGACAAGAGAGGACAGCGGGCTGCACAGCTACAGGAAAAGTCTAATGTGTGTAGAGGGGAGATGTTCAACCTGTCACGAGAGTTGGGAATTTAATAACCAGATTAGACCAGAGTCACTGAACTGGACTAAATTCTCCGATGGGACTCAAATTCCATTACTGGACAGGATTAAGTTTTCTCTCCCTCATCCCCCTCCAGTGAGTGGAAATGGGGTTCAGAGTTATTAGAAGAGATAAAATTATTCTTTGTGCACCTCACCGACCTGAGACTCCTCCAACAAGCCAGCTACACATTAAGTCCCAGAATCTCTGAGTTGGCTGGAATCTCCGGCAGAGAAATTTTTTCCTTTGCCTGCTCCTCCTCCTGGCATCTGCCCCTCTGTCTATACATACTAGAGAGGATGAAAACCAAAAAAGCCCACAGAGGATTCCTAGCTTCATTTCAGCATTCAAATGAAATACTCTAATTTTTCACACAAACAACTTTCCATTCCAGCACTTTTTCATTTAAGAGTACGTTATCTTAATGAGAAAATTCCTAAGGGTAAAATAACCTATGTTTGAAAACTAGCATCCTGTAGGGGCGCCTGGGTGGCTTAGTCGGTTAAGCGTCCGACTTTCGCTTAGGTCATGATCTCGCGGGTTCATGGGTTAGAGCCTCACTTCGGGCTCTGTGCTAACTGCCAGCTCAGAGCCTGAAGCCTGTTTCAGAGTCTGTGACTCCCTCTCTCTCTGACCCTCCCCTGCTCTCGCTGTCTCTCTCTCTCTCCTAGAAATAAATTAAACATTAAAAAAAAAAAAAGAATAGTTTAAAGAAAACTAGCATCCTGTATAGTGAGGCTGACACATTGCCTGCATAAATTTGGTAGCCTAATTTATTATTCATTTAGTAAGCATGACACAGAGCTTTCTAGTGGGGGACCCAACAGGTTCAGAAGCCATGTTAGAACTTTATCTTGAAGGTATCCCTAAGTTCCCATTCAGAGACAAGCTTTTTACTGATATCCAGGGCTAATGTAGATTTACAGGGGTTTATGTTAATATTTGCTTTTATCCAGCAGGGTATTGTATATCTCCATCATTTCTGTCTCAGTTCCTAAATCCATAGTTTATTGTTCTTTAAAGCTGTACACCTGAAGTCTCCCTTCTTCAGGGTGGCTTCTTTTTTAAAAGATTCCTCTTTGGGCTTTTCTGTAAATTATCAGTGATCCTAGCCAGGCTCATATATGTTTAAATTTTTGGATACATGCTTCTCAGAACATTAAGCCGTGTGTGTGTGTGTGTGTGTGTGTGTGTGAGAGAGAGAGAGAGAGAGAGAGAGAGAGAGATAAAGAAATGGCCTGATATAAAAATAACCAAGTTGTCCCAAGGTGGAACTGACCAAGTTACTAAGATAAAAGACAGTGGAAAAAGCTAGTGGATGTTGAAGAGCTGCACTCTGCCTAAAAGTCAAAAACCAAGAAATGATGATCCGATGACAATAAAATAATTCCCCCCACACCATCCAGTAGATGGTGCTGTTCACCTAAAATGGCTTTGTTGCTGTTCAGAACAGAAATGTTTAACACACAAATATGAAGTAAATGTTTAATTCTTATACCCCCAAATCCCAGAGTTGTCTAAAAGTTCCATAAAACAAAAATTGTAAATAGTGCTTTAGTGTAAACTTTGAAATAACTTACACTTTCACCTTTGATTCCAGAGGCTGTAGATTGAGGTGATATTTTTCAATATTATTCTCCATATCCATGGCCATCTGGTGACTAGAAACAGAAATAATGCCTCAAATATAGTTGAATACAGACAGTTAATCTTTGTAACAATAATATTGATAATTTATATCTATTTGAAAAAGCAGATATATATCCAATTTTCTTCATTTTAATGAATTCACAGAGTCTTAAATTCTATTTATGGATAATGGATAAATAATCACACCATAAAAAGAAAATGATGTTTTGCTTTTAACCTTTGCTGTTCTTTTGATTTTTACTCCTCAGCTCAACATTCATATTTAAGGCATGAAAGTCATTTCCTTTAAGCAAAGTGATAAGCAGAATATTGGGCCACTTCAGGGGGAGAATAAAAACATAAGGAGGGTGTTATAAATCCAGTGGCATTGTCCAAGTTGTAGAGAAAGTATCTCATTCATTCTCACCCCAGTGGCGCCACTGCCATTGAACCTTTCCCTCTTTCATTCTGTAAGCTTTGTCAGAGCTCCCACTATGAACAAAGCATGAATCTCAGCCCTGGAAAACTCTATATCCATAGATACATGATCACCGCTTCCAATGAGCTTATTAGACAATCACTGGGTGTTACAATGATCAAGGAAGATTTCATGGAGATGGTGGTAGTTGATCTGGGTTTTGTAGAATGGACAGGAATTAGGTTAAGTTAAGGTGTGAAAGGTAAAACATATGAGACAGATATTAAAACAAAAGATTAGAGGTGAAAAACCTCAGGCTATTTTTAGATAACAAAGAACAATCTGGTGAAAGTGGAGGATAAAAGTAGGAGATAAGTTTGGATAAGCAGAAAACTAATAGTTGTTGGCCACATAATATAAACAAAACACTGTCATAAACATTTTATATGTATTATCTTATTCAATTCTCACAGCAGCCTCTACCAATTACGTATTTTCGTATTGAGAAATCTGAAGCTCAAAGAGGTAATGCTCAAGTCACTGTACAGCAGAAACCACACTGCAATTCAAGTCTCATGACCACAAAAAACTTAATGCTACTGACTGTGGTTTTCATAGGTCAAATATTGGACATCCCAATCCAAGACACATGCATGTGCTAAGGGTGTGTGTGCGTGTGTGTGTGTGTACGTGTGTGTATGTGCATATGTGTCCATATGCTGAAACAAAGGTGAAACAAAAATTTCAGGAAACATTATTTCCCCAGCTGATATTTTTTATTATATTTCAGATTTTTTAATATTATATTTCAGTGGTGAACCATCAAAGTGATTTAACAAACCATCAGTGGATTGTTAACTTATAGTGTGAAAAATATTCCTGTGGGGAAACATAAAGTATTTGAAGCAGGAAAACCTGAATGGGATGTTTAAGGGTGATTATTAGTAGCAGTGAACAAGGAGAGTGATGGAAAATATTTAGAAGGGTATTCAAATTGTCTCATAATGAGGACCAAGACTGTGATTCTAGTAAAGAAAAGAAAAAGATACGGAAAAAAAATTGAGCTCGAAGTATCTCTAGGACTTTCTCCCCTTTACAAAGGAATAACCAAAAGGTGGAGAAACGCATGGTAGAGCAGATAAATTCCTACAGGGCCAGTAGGTGGTGCCATCAGCACAATATAGCTTTGTGGTGGTCCAGCTGGGATATTGGGGGGTCAATACAGTACAAGACTGTACTCTTTGCTCTATGCCATTGGTATTCTGAGTCCATTATTAATTCATCCTTATCCATTCATTTATAAATATATTGTGTGTCTTCTATGTGTCAGAAATGATGCAAAAACACAAGTGACACAATAGTGAAAACACTAGACATGTTCCCTGTTCTATGGTTTTATAATCTAAGAGATGGTGGATATTAAACAAGTAACTATAAGAGTGATAGATTTTATTAGAGGGGAAACACAGAGGGACCTAATGCATGTCAGTTGGCATAGAAAGTGTTGTTTTTACAATTTCATGATCTTGTAGGGACAACGGCCTTATAAGAAAGATACTTTAAGATTTTGTTAACTTGGGGCGCCTGGGTGGCTTAGTCGGTTAAGCGTCTGACTTTCGCTTAGGTCATGATCTCGCGGTTCATGGGTTCGAGCCCTGAGTTGGGCTCTGTGCTGACTGCCAGCTCAGAGCCTGGAGCCTGTTTCAGTCTGTGACTCCTTCTCTCTCTGACCCTCCCCTGCTCTCTCTCTCTCTCTCTCCTAGAAATAAATAAAACATTTAAAAAAAATGTATAAATTAAAAAAAAAAAGATTTTGTTAACTAAACCCCTTAATAGCATATTAGTAAATCGGGCAATAGGAATACATGTGAGGTGCTGTGGGACCTCTAGTTATGCAGCAACCAAAGGCAAAACTCAAGTTTTCATAAACGGAGAATTTTTATAATATTAATAAATTATAATTTGCAGTTGTAATTTATACATCTTCAACAAACTATAAACTATGAAAACCTGTAGGTTTTAATTGGATAGCTTTATCTCATTCCATCAATAACCTGTGGGTTATTACCTGTGGGCAATAAAATGATTATATGTGAGGTGAACGTGTGACTTGCAATCCTATATTACGCACCAGAAACCCAACTTGATTCAGTATGTACAACAAATAGCAATCACCCTAAGGTCTTACTTAAGTTAATAAATGATTATCAAAAACAACAGAGTCATAAGCAAGCTCTTAATTAATGGCATTACTAATTACTCTTCTGTTTATGAGCACATAGAAAGCATTATTGAATATGTGCACGTATGTGTATACAAATGACCTAGACTGGCCCGGCGTGTAGTCTCAAGTAGAAGAGAGTTGCAGCTTCCCCTCCCTTCATACTGGCTGTCTACCACAAAACCCTGTTGAGCATTCAGAATAAATGTAATGTTCCAAGGGGGAATAACTGATCAACTGCTATGACACCACTATCACTTAACTTACGGTCATTTCAAGTAGCTGAGATGATTTACATCAACACCTAAGTCAGCTACAGCTATAATGAAATGCCTAACTGCCCACTCAGAGTACACCAGTTTTTCAATCAAATTTTGACAGCTTTCAAGGACACAGACCTGCCCCGAAGCAAACCAGGAAAATCTCTAAAATTGCAGGCAAATGGGTATAGCCGTTAGGGCTGGCAGCCATTGTTTGTTCTCTCTCTCGGTCCTGGCCAAACATGAAAGAGAAGCTTACCCCACTGGCCTGTGTGCTTTGAGGGGAGACCTTAATTCCCATCTCTGGAATTCCTCAGTCATGATGAGGAAAAATAAGCATGCAAAGCAGACTGGCCATTTCCAGAAGTTTTTAGCTTTCCCAGGCTTCTGGACAATAAGAAGGAAAGAACAGGGGAGGAAAAAGGAGGCAGAAGCCCACATATATGCCATTAATCCTCACAAATCTTCCTGAGAGCAGAGAGCTGGGAAAGATACACATTGGGATTAGCGAGAAGTTTAATACAGAACTGTGATCAATTAGCAAGAAAAAACTTCTGGAGCTCACTTCTCACACTAAAATCGATTTAATAGATAAAAGTGATGAGGAGAACAAAGACAAGAAAAATATAGATAAAATTAAATTTCCTTACAACTCACAGCCCATTGATAAATACCTGAGACATGAAGAGTATGACATTCCTCAAGGAATTCATGGCTGCCTTAATGTTGATGTTATGCTAGAAAGTAAAGCAACCTGGCGAGACCTCCAGGATCCTGTAAGTCTTCTGTAACATATGGAAATATCTTAAAAGACTTCCTGTATCTCTACCTGCCCCCACACCCAACCTAAAAGTATACAATCAATTGCTCCTCACAATCACAGTATAGCTCCTCCTTCCCATGGGTCCTGTCCTTATACTTTAATAAAAACACCTTTTTGCACCAAAAACATCTCAAGAATTCATTCTTGACCACTGGCTCAGCAGCCCCACGTCAAAAGGTCTGAACTTCACAGAGAAAGTGTGTCCTAAGAAAATTAAGCTATGTGAGATTACTGAATAACTACAAGGAATCTAAAATGTACCTACACCACTGGTTGTCATCCCAGCTCCTCTTTAGAAGTAAATAGAGGGAGCTTTTAAGAAATACTAATTTCAGGATCTCATCCTCGGACATTCAGATCAATTTGTCTAGGGTAGAGTTTATGCCAAGGCTTATGCCATCTTTATTAACTTCCAGGTGATTCTAAGGGCATCCAAGAAGAAGAACCACTTATCTAATGTCATTAGCACACTAGTCTCCATAGAGGAAAATCCTTCTAGTTACACAGTCAAAAACTTTTTAGTTATTATTTACATACTGCTAGTGATGGTAGTGGTGAGGGGCACACCATAATAAAGATAAATTGAATCTGAAGATAACCCAGAAACTTTATTTGATCAAATAGCTGAAACTGTCCTTCAAGTGATGGCATGGAAAATTCTTAGAACCACGGAGACAGAATGAACCTGAACATGTCTAGTCCAAACGGCCACCCAGATGGAAAGAGAAGGGGTTGACATTGAAGCCACTGGGCTATTGTGGGTGTCTTATTTAGGGCCCTCATCTCAACTGTCAAGTCAGTGTTGTTCACTTCACTGTTAAAGATAAGGAAACTGTGTTCAGGGTGGTTAAATAATTTGTCCAGACTCACAAAGCTAGGATAAAATCAGAAAGAGGAATAATATTCAAGATTTTCCATTTTTGGAATGTTTTCAACAGCGTATCAGATGGGCACTTCTAGTATCTGTCATCTCACTCCTTACTAAAGAATTCCATTCTGTTGGGCAGGCTGAATTTTTACAAATGTTATTCTTTTTCTGAGTCACAAAGTTTTTTCTCCATAAATCCTGCTCACCGATTCTTGTTATGCCCTTTAGAGCAAGAAGAGCAATTTGTCCCCCCTTTTTGTAATTAATGTTTTTTTTATTTATTTCTGAGAGAGAGAGAGAGAGAGAGAGAGTGCATGAGCAGGGGAGGGTCAGAGAGAGAGGGAGACACAGAATCTGAAACAGGCTCCAGGCTCTGAGCTAGCTGTCAGCACAGAGCCCAACACAGAGCTCGAACCCACAAACTGTGAGATCATGACCTGAGCAGAAGTCAGATGCTTAACCGACTGAGCCACCCAGGTGCCCCATTTTGGCCCCTTTTTAATGGGAAAATTCCTTCAAACCTTTAAGGAAAACCATTATGTTCCCTCTGAGATTTCTTTTCTCCAAGTACACATCTTTAGCTCTTTGTAGTAGTTTTACATGGCTCCAGAAACTAAATTTTTTTAAAGCTCTCTTTATTTATTTTTGAGAGAGAGAGAGAGACATAGATTGTGAGCAGAGGAAGGGTAGAAAGAGAGGGAGACACAGAATCTGAAGCAGGCTCCAGCCTCTGAGCTTTCAGCACAGAGCGCGATGCGGGGCTCCAATTCACTAACTGCCAGATCATGACTTGAGCCAAAGTCGGATGCTCAAATGACTGAGCCACCCAGGCTCACAATTTTAATTGACTTCCTCTAGTGCTCTTGGGAATGTCTGTGCTTTCTTAAATGTGATACCCAGAGCCATGAGTGGCACTCACGCGGCCTTGGCACTGAGACTTAGCTGGTGGTTGAGAGCAAGAGCTCTGGTGGCATTCATATATGGTTTTGGTTTTCACCCTTGTTACTCTTAATAAAAATACTTAGACAAGTGCTGAAAGCTCTCTGAGCCTCTTTCCTTGTCTGAAAAATGGAAATAATCTCTGTGTCAGAAGGCTGTAATCAGAATTCTATGAGGAAATATCTGTAAGCATTCACTGATATGGAAGATAATTAGAAATGCTCAGTAAATGACAGTTCACTTTTTCTTTTATCTGGACAATGCACGCTATTATCAGTCTAATATTGTGGTAATATTTTTAGAAGCCATATAAAATTATGGTCCCGTGTTAACATCAGATAAAACCTCCAAGCATCTACTCACAAACTGAAATCAGAATATATCTCTGGACCTTGAGGGTGTTATGCTGAGCGAAATAAGTCAGGCAGAGAAGGACAAATACCATATGTTTGCACGTATAGGAGGATTAGGAGGAACTTGACGGAGGACCAAGGGGGAGAAGAAGGGCGGAAATGGTGGGGGAAAGGGAGAGAGGCAAACCATGAGAGACTCTTGAATGCTGAGAAACAAACTGAGGACTGATGGATGGGGGGGGAGGGGGGGATGGGCATGAAGGAGGGCACTTTGGGGATGAGCACTGAGTGTTATGTAGAAACTAATTTGACAATAAACTATTTGTAAAAAAAAAAAAAAAAAAGAATGTAAAAAAAATAAATAAATAAATAAAAATAAATAAATAAATAAAAAAAGAATATATCTCTGATGTATCTAATTGTACATTTTTTAAAAATCTAAGTGAAAAATAGACTTACATTGAATTTTCTCTTTCTTGCTTTTTTTAGCTCAATTTTGTTCCATTCTGCAGTATTATATTTTTAAGTATATTTATTTATTTTGAGAGAGAGAACACGTGAGTGGGAGAGAAGGGGAGTGGAGGTGTCGGGGAGGGGCGGAGAGGGAGGGAGAGAGAGAATCCCAAGCAGGCTCTACACTGCCAGCATGGAGCCCAATGGAGGGCTCAAACCCACAAACCATGAGATCATGACCTGAGCCAAAGCTGGAGGCTTAACTGACTGAGTCACTCAGGCACCCTTCTGTAGTATTATTTTAAATGTTAATTCTATTGGTCTTAGAGTTACCCTTAAGCTTTGTGCAAATTTTATGATTGCCTTCTATATACTCCATTGATTAAAAGCCAAAAACAGGGCAGGGTTGTTAAGTTTTAAGCCCTCAGACACAGCACCAAGACATCACCATGCATCATACTAATCTGTTAATCAGTACAGCTTGTGTATCATAGCTCAACTAGCCATAAATCTATCTAGCCATATATCAAACAAGCCACATTTCTGAGTTCCTGACCACAATGATAACATAAGAAACTGTCAAATTTACTTATTAATTTTTGCCTTACTAGGTGTGTTTTTTTTCCTTTTATTTTTTTCATGCAAGCTTTTAAACCTCAAATATAATTAATATCCTTTGGTATTTTTTACTTACTTTTCAAGTAAATATTTTCCATCATTAACTTGTTCTAAAGGATTCTGCAATCTTTTCATTTCCTCCTGTGAAAAAGAAAAGAAATATCTTACAAACTGACCTCATGTACTTGTGGGTAATAATATTTGAGTACAATTGTTTGCAAAATTGAGATAACACGCTGTTAAGAGTTCTGGACTTTGCAATGGATAAGTGCTTAGACATACAATTCAATCTGACCCTTGATCAAATTAGAATACAATAGTGCCACTCAACTTGTGTGATTTTTTTAATGCACTAAAGATAATGCTTCCTGTTATTTTTCCAGAGTGGGGATGTGTTTATATGGATCCACTCACACTCTTCCCAAATTTACTCCGTCAACAGTATTAAGCTTGCTGGTTGCTGGGTGAAGGGCTCTAATGAGCATGTGCTGGGTTTGGCCATTCAGCAGCCATTCTCTCCTGTCTCTTGGTAACTCTAGGTAACCTCATCTCCGAGTCATAGTGCTCATACATGTGCAAATGTGCACATGCGCACACACACAACTTCCCTGAATTTTAGGCTTCCATGGTTTCTGTAATCCCATTCTTCAGGCCACAGTGACTCAGGGATAGGACAGAGGCCACTATTTGCCTCATCACAAAAAATGAGTAAGCTCCAAGAGGATGCCTCAGTTAGAATTAAGTATACAGTTGTCCCTAAGAGACCATCAGGACTAATCTCAATATGCTTCTAAGCCACCGGATATCCAAGTCTCCTAGGTCATCCTTCATTCCTCAGTTTCTTTAACTTTATACTGTATTGTGCATCCCAGAACTTGACCGAGTTACCAACCTCTCCCCAGTCCCTCCAGCCTTTCCCCTGAGCTCTTTGGAACTCATAGTCTGTCTTTAGCAAAATCTTCTATCTCCTCAACTTCTTTGAACATATCCTTCAACTTATTCTGACTGTACTTTGCCTCACTGTTCTGGGACAGCTAAATTTCTGTTAGACCAAGAAAATCAAAAGACCATTTAGAAAAGAGTTTTAGGATATAGAGAATTTTTGCTGAGAAACTTAGCTGAGACCCTGAACACATCATCTCCCCTGCAGCCTGCTTAAGAGGTGGTCATTTATGTCTCACGTGCTATATCCAGCATGGTCTAAAGGCAGTATGGGACCCTTTCTTCTCCTTGCTTCTCCCAGATCCTCCTCACTCCTATAAAATCTTCGTTCCTCTGGAAACATGCCAGCAGTTTATCCTAGGCCTCTGTCCTCTTCCCTATCAATCCACATTCCTCAGGAGGTCATATCTAGTTCCATGGCTTTAAATTTATATTTGTACCTGACCTCTCCTCTAAACTCCACTCTTCTATATCTGCTTGCCTACTTGATAGCTCCATATACACTTATAATGGGCATCTCAAGTTCAAGGCCAAAGTCTTGATTTCCTTGACTCTGCCCTCCCACCCAAACCTCCTTCTGTATCACTTCTTCCCCATTTCAGCAAATGGTGTCACTATTCATCTAGATACACAGAGCTAAAGCCTAGAATCACTTTCATACCTTTGTTCTTCTCACAAAACACAACCAATCAGCTAATCTTACTGATCCCAACTTCAAAATACATCCAGGACTTGACCACTACTTCTAGTGTGGTCTAAGCCAATGGTGAGTCTCCTGTTTCTGTTTCCCATATTGGTCCACTTCAGTCAATTCTCCTTACATCAGCCAGCATGATCTTTTAGTACCTAGGCTTTCATTTTCAAGTGTGTGGAATACACATATCATAAATATAAAGTCATACTGTATATTTATGATATGTGACTTTTGACAAATGCATATATTGGTAGAACCACCACCCAAAATGAAATAAAGAACATATCTCTCTCTAGGAAGTTCCTCTCTCAAAGGGCAGCTTGGTTCTGATTTCTATCACCATAGATTAATTTGGCTTGTTCTAGAACTTCATACTATACTTTTGTGTCTGGTTTAATTCACTCAGCATTATATTTTGAAATTAGTTGCTCAACCAATATTAATTGTTTAAAGTTCACTTTCGTATTTGGGGAATAATTTTTTTTCCCTCTCTGAATTCTAGAATGTAAGGATTTTGAAGTGAAGAAACCTGGAACTTCAATGTAAGTATGTTGTGTGGGGTAAGAACAACTAACTGGAGAAAAAAGATAGCAGAAAGAACAGATGCCAAGGAAACAGCCAAGGAGCCAGTGCCCTAATCATACTGTGAACTTCTGGGTCAAACTGGATCTTGAAACCAGCATATTGATGGACTTTTCAGTTTCATGAGCCAATAGATTCTCCCATTTGCTTAAGGCACTTTTGGCTGAGATTTCTATTTTCTTTCAGTTGAACGAATTCAAACTCAGAAATGACAGTCTGAGCTATAACCTAGGGCTACAGTATACAAAACCCTAACTAGATGAGGCATGGGACTATAAAACTTCAGAACTGGGCAGTTGTTTACTTTGTTGTGTTTTGTCAGTCTCTTAAAAAAAAAAAAAGTGCTATTCAGAAGAATAATGGATGAAGCAGGTCATGGTCTTTATTCCTTTTTATTAAGGCTGCTGCTTTTATATCCAATATTTGTATAACAAACCTCATATAAAGAACATTTCTGCATCTTCTGCAAAACTGCTGTATAAAGCATTATACATTTTGCTACTCTCATACAAAAGAATAAAATTTTAGGATTTACTACTAAGGGATATTTTCCCCTTCTGACATAATAATGCACTTCTTTCATCAACAATAACAACTTATAAGTCTTACAGAGGTTGTTTATTTTGCCTTGAAGCTTAAGCTAAATGAAATATTCAGTTGTCAGAACTACTTTTTCCATGCTGTTAGTACAATTATACCTCTCTCTTTCACTACATGTACATGATGTGTGAAACTCTTTATTTTAACTCTTACATGTTTGCTTTTCACAGTTAAGTGGAAGCCAGTACTATACATGTACTGAATGTATACATGATGAGTGGGTAGGAAGATAAAGATGATCAAGTAGGTAGGCAGGTAGCTAGACAGATTGATAAAGAATCCTTTTCACTCTTATACATGGCTTTTTATTTTCACGGTAAAACTAACTCTTCAGCACAATAGAGGTTGGTTTCTTATTCTAAGAACAAGTCTCCACATTTATCCTCTATTTTCCCCCAAACCTCCAAATCTCCCACCTAATCCTTCATTATACTCCATCCCAGGTTGAATAAGAATCCATAGTTATTCTAGAAAACAAGATGAGGATTTTTAGGTCATAAACTTGTTCTTTTTTTACCCCTGCATTATGATTAGCAAAGAGACTGAGCTGTTGGTAGTGCCAGCACTTTCTTCTTTAAGATGTCCCTGTGGTGTGCTTTCTTCTTTTCTTTTTCCCTGGGGATTTGGGGGGCAGGAAATAAAGAGCTTTTGCACTCTGTGCCAGCCACTCTCCTTTCCTTGGTTCTTTCATTGCAGAGAGCTTGCTGTGTGGGGAGGGCTTTGATGCAGTACTTTATTCAATCTCACTATCCACGTTCTAGGAAATCATATTAAACATAAGGTCAATGACTAACAAGAGCTTTCTGAACAGCTGCTCTGCTGACAATTTGGAGGATTGATTTCATCACTTGGTTATTTAAGCTAACTATACAAAAACACTTCAATTCAATGGGCCTGGAAGTTCCAAGCCATGTCCTCATTTTCTTGGAAATCAATAAGGAGGTTGCTTGCTCAACAGATCTTCACTTGGGAGTTTTACTTTTTGAGAAAATTTTGTTTCAATTTACCGTTAAAAACATACACAAATTGGTCTCTTCCATCACTGGTTTCTCCCACTAGTCTTTTCGTCTCTGATTTCAGATCTGGCAATGCCATTTCCCTACTAGAAACCAACAGTAGCTCCCCAGTGCTTTGAGGATAGATTCCAAACTCCTCAGCCAAGGTCTGGTGCAACAGGGCCCACCTGTCTCCCCACTCCGCCTCACATGCCCTGCCCCACACACTCTGTCCCTAAGTCTGGTCATATGAAACTTCACACCATTCTGGAACTCACATCCTCTCTTATTGGACAGTCAATGACACTGTGTCCTCAATTATTCTACTGGCTCACTCCCACTCTTCCTTCAGGAAGTGCCCAACATTAGCCTCTTCCACAGATGCTTTCCAGAGTCAACAGGAAGGTCAGATACCTCACCTTGCTTCCTTAGCAATCCATGGTGATCCCTATTTTAGCACTACCACTCTACCTGACACACCTGCTACCTTACCCCTAAGATCCTTGAAGTCAGAGATGGTGACCTACTCACATCGAGATGTCTATTCCCCAATGAGGCATTCAGGAGGTACTTAATAATTGTTGAATAAATGAATTATAAATGCATTGAATGCATTATTCTCACTGAGGTGAAAAGACATCTTAGTAGCTTAATGGCCTAAAAAATCCCAAGAAACTGCATGTCCTCTGCTGATTCTTCTCTACCTCTCCCAATACACTTTTTTTTTCATCATTCGGTAGCTTTCTTTTTTATTTAACATTACATTTTTTCCAGCTTTATTGAGGTATAATTGATGGTTTAAAACTGTATATATTTAAGGTGTATGACTCAATGATTTGATGTGTATAAACTTTGTGAAATAATGTAACCTTACATAGTTACCACTTTCTTTCTCTTTCTTCCTCCCCCTCCTTTCCTCCTTCTTCCCTCCCTCTCTCCCTTTCTTCCTTCCTTTCTTTTTGTTTTTGGTGTCATAAAAATACTTGAAATCTACCCTCTTAGCAAGTTTTAATCCTGCACTACAGTATTGTTAACTGTACACTGTTGTACTTCAGATCTCTAAAAGTTACTCATCTTGCCTAACTGAAGCTTTGGTCCACTTAACCAGCATCTCCCTACTCAAATTCTTGCCTCATCTCCACTTTCCTCTGTTCCAGGAGGCTCAAGATGTTGGACTTTATCAACCAGGCCCCTTTGTCCTATGGCTTTGGGTAAAAACTGAGCAGTGGGAGGCACTGAATAAGATCAGAGGTTAGCAGAAGAGAGAAGTTGGAGTATTTATTTTATTTTCTCCCATCTCAGACTGGTGTAACTAGAGGCCACA